ACTATTACGAGTACGCCGTACTCATTTCCCGGCGGGCCCGCCGCGGCCGATATGGCGTGCGAACCGAGCGCCGCCGTCGAAAAATTCGAGTTTTAGGCGTTTTAGGGCGTATCGACCTCCCCGTCTGGATCTTATTCGCGTTCCACCCTAAATTTATAGTCGGCGCGCGGCCCTATTTTTTCAAAAACGAGTATTCCGGCGGACGAATCGATCGCCGAGAGCGCCGCGTCTTCGCCGTTTCGACGGTTTTCTCGACTTTTTCGACTAGAGTCGCGTTTGGCACCTCTACGAGTCTCCCGACCTCCCCGTCGGCGACGTATTCGAGTTTCCCTCTAAATTTATAGCCGGCGCGCGGCCTTACTTTTTCGAAAACGAGTCCAGGGGAGGTTAAACGTGAGTAGGTACCGTGTATGTATCGCTATATACAGGCATAAATACATGCGACGCGTCGTTTTTTGCGTAGCCGCCGCTGCGTTATCACTCCTCCTTATCACTTTTCACGATTTTTTTTCAAAATGTTCGACTTTTACTCCCCTCGGGGCCTCGGGCGGCCCCGTTCGGACCTTATTCGCATTCCTCGCTAAATTTACTATTATAAGTCCGCCGTACTTTTTTCTCTGCGGGCCCTCCGCGGCGGATATCACGTGCGAACCGAGCGCCGCCGTCGCCCGCGTTTTTTGCCGTTTTTTTTCGAAAATTCGAGTTTTAGGCGTTTTGGGACGTATCGACCTCCCCGTTTGGATCTTATTCGAGTTCCCCGCTAAATTTATAGCCGGCGCGCTGTCCTACTTTTTCAAAAACGAGTCCCGGGGAGGACCGGCGTCGCTTAAACGAGAGTAGGTACCGATTGGGTATCGAGTAGGTACCGCTATATACAGGCATAAATAAGTGAGTCTCGAAGTTCGATTTTTTTCTCAAAGCTCGGGTATTATACGTCCGAGGGCGGCGGAGCCGGTCGTCTGCTCCCCGACGCGGTCGGATCGCCCGCTCAAACGCCCTTTGCCGGCCGTCGCGAACACGGCGACGCGGCTTAAGAGTCATACATTTGACTAAGAATTTCATCTGAGTAGATGGCTAGGTTGGTTAGGCGTTAGGATAGGTGACTCGAGGGTCGTGGTTTCGAACCCGCCGCCCGAAAATCGATAATTTGCGGCGGCCATGATAAATGTAATTTTTTTTTCGCGTTTTTTTTTTCGTCACATTTTTTTTCAAAATTCGCGTTATTATATTAAACATATCGGTATTTGTATATATTATAATTCGCTTAACTATATTTATTTTATAATTAGCATTTAATTAATACTTGATTTTACCGTGACCAACGCACCTATATGTAAATAAGTTTCTTTTATAAATACAATATAATATAATTAACCTATATGACATATATTGTAGTACCTACTTGATATATTACGGTTTTTAAGTGATTCCGATTTGGTTAAATATTGTTTAATACGATATTAATAAACTAATAGATCTAAAAGAACTGATTAAACTCTGTCAGTTAAGTAGTACGACTATATTATGACTGCTCTTTTTGCCGTTTTTTTCGAAAATTCGAGTTTTAACCCCTTTCGGTCGTATCACCCTCCCCGTCGACGACTTATTCGCGTTCCCCGCTAAATTTATAACCGGCGCGCGGCCCTACTTCTTCAAAAACGAGTCCCGGGTTGGAGCGGCGTCGCGGAAAAGAGAGTAGGTACCGATTACGTATCGCTATATACATGCATAAATACATGTTTCTCGAGGTTCGATTTTTTTTTGCAATTCTCACGTTTTATACATCCTAGGGCCGCGGAGCCGGTAGTCCGCTTCCCGACGCGGTCGGATGGCCCGCAACGACGCCCTTTGACTGACGACCAAACGGCGTTCGCCTTTCGCGGGGACGGCAACGCGGCTTAAGAGTCATAGATTTGACTCTGATTTTCATCTCAGTAGGTGGCTAGGTTGGTTAGGCGCTAGGACAGGTGACTCGAGGGTCGTGGTTTCGAACCCGCCGCCCGAAAATCGATAATTTGCGGCGGCCGTGTTCAATGGAATTTTTTTTTTCGTCACATTAATTATTTTTAACGAAAGTGTTGTGATTTTTTTCAAAATTCGCGTTATTATATTAAATATATCGGTATTTATATATATTATAATTCGTTTAACTATATTTATTTTGCAAAAAAATATAAATATATAATAAATTAATATATTAAATAATAATAATAATATTAGCATTTAATTAATACTTGATTTTATCGTGACCAACGCACCTATATGTTTCTTTTATAAATACAATATAATATAACTAACCTATATGACATATATTGTAGTACTTTCTTGATATATTACGGTTTTTAAGTGATTCCGATTTGGTTAAATATTGTTTAATACGATATTAATAAACTAATTGATCTAAAAGAACTGATTAAACTCTGGCATTTAAGTAGTACGACTATATTATGACTGCTCTTCTTGCCCGGGGTCGACGATCGCCCACCTTGTCGTGGTGACCCCGCCCGACCGGACTTACGCCCGGCGCTAAGAGGCGTTCAAAAAACTGTCCGGAGTAGGCCGGCTCCGGACTTCTAACCCCTGGCACGGAAAAATGCAACCGCCGAATTAGCCCGCCGGCGGCCAGAGTGTGTAGGGCTACCGGGGCAGCCCCCCGAAATACTAACAACATGAAAACACAAATAAAAATAGATGATGGTACCGGCACAGAGGCCCAGGAAACCTCAGGCCCGGCAGGTGTGGGTGAGCTCGCCACACAGGTCGTAATCAGTAGCTCCGGAAATGCAAGTTTGACTATGGAAACGGAACACTCGGAATATAAAGACTTGGACAGTACTAACAGACACTGCTACTCAGCCCCGCTTAGATTAAGGGGAGGCGGCAATGACGACGAATCCGACATGTCACAAACCGGTAGCACCAGTGGTGACATGGTCGCTGGAAACAGCAAAAAGCGAGGTCCAACCTCGCCGGGTGGTCAACTGACCAAGCAACCACGTAGCTCGAAAAAATCGAGCGAAATAAGTGACCTCATTGGATGGATTGAGCACACAATAATCCAAGAGAAGGAAAAAAAGAGGATAGGCATACAAACGGCAGAAAAACTGCTCATAAACATCAACAAATTAAGAACGGCAACCGCGACCCTAGCTCACGAAAACAGCAGACTCGCTGGGGAGGTGGAGGGCAAAGACGAAGCCCTTCAACAGAGCCTCACTATATTCATAGAGAAACTGGATATAAAGAACGCTGAAGCCAGTAGTCTGAAAATAGAACTAGATGCGTTAAAGACCACTGCAGCGGTACCACGCCCAACTGTAACACAACAGTCGACGTATGCAGCTAAGGCAGCTAAGACGCCGGCAAGTACAAAAGCCACGCCTAAAAACGTAAAAAACGCAAAAGCACCCCCGGCTAAGTCAAAGAAGGCGGCCGAGATGGAACAGCTAAATAAAAGCAGGCAAGTCAAAGCGACATCTAGGTTCATCGTGGAGATACCGCAGGATATGTCAGTGGCAGACGCGAAGGCAGGAGTCTGGCAGGCGGTCAGGTCGAGGAATAGCAGGCCCAAAGCTAAGACCATCGTAAGCGGCCGGTCGCTTATAATAATTCCGGACGACTCCAACACGTTGGAGGTGATAAGAGACATCAGCAATATAATAGAATTAGGCCCGAAAAAACCTCGAGTCATAATCCATGACGTCGATGGTGGAATCAGTCAAGAGGAACTGACAGAGTGTTTGCTAGCGCAGAACGAGGAACTTGGCTTAACCGCAGAGGATATGAGCAACTCTAGACCACTCCACAAGCTGGGCCCGCGGGACAGCGATGTGGTCCATTGGGTCGTGGAAGTTCCACCAAGCGTTCTCGCAAAAATAGAGAACAAAGCTCTATACATCGGCATGACGAGATGCAGATGCAAGTTCCACAGCTGTGCGGTTGACGGCTGCACATGCAAAGCCGGTTACGAGTGTGCGTGTGTGTGAGTGCGCGCCCGGACGGCGGCCAACACGCAACCCGTCTTGTGTGACGATACTTCGCACTTACCTTAGTCGATAGCCCTGTGGGAGGGAAGAAATAGTGGACTGTATTTAAAAAACTATGAAATAGGAGCTGGTTGCAAATAGGGAAATTATTTAATATGATGATGATGTGAGGTATCTAACCTAGTGCGGTAATGCAAATATAAAACATTTGTTTGCGGTCTAAAATATACAAACAATTTATTATGATATTCTGCAGTACGAAAATCTTATAGACTAATGTTAGTGGTAATAAATAGTGCGCGATCACAAGTCGATCGGCGAAAAAATAATATAATACACAACGCACGTCGAAGACGACGACGAATAATAATTCAATTAAACTAATAGTGCGACAATGCACGTCGGAGACCTACAACAATAAGTGATACAAAATGATGCGTGTGTACGACCTGATAAGGCTGGCGTTGATAGTAGGTGATAGTGGTGACGGAGCGGTTGTCCCAAAACGACAATGGTTCTGCTGCTCGTGTCTGTGTGGTAGGCGGCAGGAGTACTTCCGTCGAACACGGCGAATCGGTCGACGACACCGCGTACTGGCGTCCGGTGGTCGACGATGGCGTGGAGGCGTGGGTACGAAACCAAAATAGGCCGGCGCGGGCCAAATTACGATCGGCACTGGCGTACCGGTTGTCGCGGCGCTAACGCGGCACAAACGACAAAACTAGAACACGTCACGGTTTCGGGCTGACCCGTTCGCACGATGTAGGGCGGGCGGACGGGAAAACACGTGGATGCGTGGGCGATCGGAACTCCAATGACACGGTGATCGTCGGGCGGGCGACGATATAACAACAAATAGGTACTAGGTGTACCAGCCACGGTTCGCACTGCGTTAGACGGACGGGCGAGAAGCACGTGGATACGAGGGAACGGGGCTCAATTCGCACGGCGAATATCGGGCGAGCGACCGAACTTATTGGATGATGATGTATCGCGACACTGACGGTCGAGACGATACAAATCGTGAGCACATCGGACGGTGCGACACGGGAGCAAAGACAGCTCGGAACAAGCACGTAAACACGTGGGTGACCACGGCTCGGGGTCGCGGCGCTGACGCGGCACACGACGAACAAATAACAATGAGCCGGGAGGTCGGCACACGGGCCGATACTCGTAACGCGAAAACTGGCGTCCGCGACGAGTTAGAAGCAGCGAGGCTTAGGTGCACGGAACGCACAACAAAAAATGGCGTTTTAACGGCGGCGGCGCACCGGATCGCGACATATACGGGGTTACGGGAACTTGCCTAGACGGCTCGGAAACGACGACGACGAGTGTAGCGGCAGCTGCGGGCGGCCGTCGGCTCGACCGCGACGGTACCGTCCCCTTCTTCGGAGGTACAAAGTTCATTCGCACAGTTTTTCGGTGGCGGCGCAGCAGGGTGACAACATAAACGTCATATGCCTGTCACATACGACCGCGCAATTTTGAATTACCGATTGTGTACCCAACAACAGCAGTCTACCGCAGTGCTACAACTGCCAGCAATATGGCCACACAGCCAAAAGATGTGAGCAGACAGGTCCAACGTGCAGACGGTGTGCAGGCGCACATGATTCTCGCACGTGCAGCAATGAGCTAATTAAATGCGCTAACTGTAAAGGGCCACATAAGGCTTCAAGCGCAGGGTGTAAGGCAAAGAGTCAGGCTAAGAGAAGCCTGTTCAGGCGCACGGACTTTGGCCAGCAATGACTGAGCCAATCCGCATAATCCAGCATAACCTCAATCGGCTTAGAATTGCAAGCCACCAGTTAGCTGAGGTCTGCAGAGCTAACAAGACGGATATAGCGTTGCTACAGGAACCAGTGATAGCACGCGGAAAGGTTGTTGGATTTGAGACCTTCCGACAAATCCACTCGGGCAATAAGGCCGGAGCCGCCATCATCATAATGAACAGCGAGGTGCAGGCCCTCAGTTTCGAACAGTATAAAACGGACTACACAGTCGCGGCCAGTTTGGGGCTAAACGAACATAAAATGATAGTTGTATCTTCCTACTTTAAGTACTCCCTGGCCACTAACGTGTTCATTGAGCAACTACGACCGATCCTCGATATGGAAGCCAGAACTATAGTCGGGGCCGATGTTAATGGCCACTCAACTCTTTGGCACTCCCCCGAGAGTAACGAAAGGGGGCGCCAGGTCGAAGACCTGGTGGAAGATTACCTGCTTCACACGGTGAACAGAAGAGGTACGATCAATACCTACGACCGACCTGGTATGGGTACATCCAATATCGATGTCACCCTTGCCACGAGAAACATGATGGGCCAAGTGACTGACTGGATGGTAACCGACGAAACAGATAGCGACCATCGGGTGATAAGCTATAAAGTCGCGATAGCAAGGACGCGTCCAGAACCTGGTCCCATAAGGTACAATACAAGTAAGGCAGATTGGAATAAAATGCTAGCCTATCTAACGATGAACGTTGGGAACGTCGATGAACGGACGGCTGATAGCCATGCGGACGGACTAGTAACGCTCCTAAAGTCCGCCGCGGACATAAGCATCCCGCGTACCAAGCCGCGTAACCAGAATAAAGGCAGGCAAATATGGTGGTCCCCCAGGCTAACTGAACTAAAGAAAACGCTGGAAAGATCCCGGAGACTTGGCCAAAGAACCGGCGAGCCTGAGGTGTATAGGGAACACCGAAACAGATACCTCTCGGAAATCAGGAGATCGAAAATGGCTGCTTGGAGAGCCTTGGCAGGAGACCTCAACACGAACCCCTGGGGCAAGGCCTTCAGGTGGGCCAAGAGAAAGGGTGCCCCCTCAAATACCGTGCAAGGCAATTTACGGAGGTCGGATGGTTCCTATACCGAAACAATCGAGGATACGGCTGAACTGCTACTGAATGCCTTTGCCCCAGACGAGATGGACGACGAAAGCGTTGAATTCCTCGGGCCGCTAGGTGAACGAGTGGAAACCCCCTCCCTCTCTGAGGTCAGGACCTCGATATGGCGTATCAAACCAAATAAAGCACCCGGACTGGACGGCATAAACGCCAGGATAATAAGGAAGGCATGGCCGGTAATAGGGTCATCACTAACAGGGCTATACAGCAAAGCGCTAAAGGAAAGCTACTTCCCCACTGGTTGGCGAAGAGCGAATGTGATAGTCATAACTAAAGGCTGGGACAAAGACCCGGCAACCACCGGAGCTTATAGACCAATAAGCCTGCTACCGGTCCTGGGTAAGGCCTTAGAGACCTTCATTATTAGGGACATGGAAACAGAGACAAACTTGAACAACATTGGAGAGCAGCACGGCTTCGTACAAGGAAAATCGACCATTACGGCAATTAAAACGATGTATCGATGGACCCACGAGTCGAAGAGTAGGCACGTCATGGGTACTTTTCTCGACATAACGGGGGCGTTTGATAACGTTAGCTGGACCCCATTGTTGAAACAACTTAAAAAAATTGGCGCTTCACCAAGAACGTTACGAATCACTGAGTCATACCTCCACAACAGATGGGCGCAACTGACGCTGGAAGGTAAGAAACATGAGAAGAAGCTGACGAGAGGGTGCCCTCAGGGCTCTCAGCTAGGTCCAACCCTTTGGAAAGTTGCGATGTCCGAACTTTTATCGCTACCAGCTGAGGACAATATCAAAGTCATTGCCTATGCGGACGACATCGCCCTCCTGGTAGGAGCGGCTAGGCATGAGACGGTGGTATCAAGAACCGAAAAATACCTTGACAAGATTAAAAAATGGGCTGACACCTACAACTTATCCTTCTCCCCTCTAAAGACACAGGTGATGTCAATCAAGGGAGGAGTGAAGCCAGGATACACGGTAGGCTTTGGAACGGATGAAATGGCTCCGAGGATAGTAGCCGGAGGTACCGTACGCTATCTTGGAGTAGTGCTGGATCCAAGAGAAGACTACTGGTGTCACATTGAGACCTTGGCTGAAAAATCGAAGAGCCTCTACAGTAGGTTAAGGACTCTCACATCGGCAAACTGGGGCGTAAACCAAATGACCTCAAGGACGATATACAAAGGGGTATTCCTGCCGAGGATAACTTATGCGGCTGAGATATGGTCAGGCGGCGCAAAAATGATAAAGTCAATAAAAAAACTGGGCAGTATGCAGAGACCACCTCTACTAGCAATGACCGCGGCATATAGAACGGCCTCGACGAACTGCCTCTCAGTTGTGGCAGGGGTGTTACCCCTTGACTTGGAGATAGAAAAAAGCGCTCTCCAAAGACGCCTGGCCGAAGGTGAGATCACCCAGGAACAGCTCACCGAACGCGTAGACAATATTTTCACTGCATGGCAGGAAAGGTATGAAGCGACTGATAAAGGGGAATGGACCAAGCGTATGATACCCTGCGTGCGGGAGTGGTACTTTCTGCCGATGCCCTTGGACCACAACACGACCCAGTTGCTGACAGGGCATGGCGACTTTAGATCTAAACTGTTTGGTTTCAAGTTAGTAAGCTCGCCCAACTGCGGGTGCGGAAACGGATCGGAGACAGTTCAGCACGTCATCTACCGCTGCCCGAGAACGGAAACACAAAGACAGGAGCTCAAGAAAGTGATGGCTGAGGAACAAGAGGGTTGGCCACCCAGCAACGGTGCCTTCCTCAAAACAAGAAGGACGTATGAGGCGCTTAGGAAGTTCGCCAAGAAATCGTTAACGAATAGGACCGACAGATAGTGTCCAGACATGGACTAAGGTCAGGACGCAGCCACACCAGGCGGTGTACGTGCAAAGTCTCGGGGTGCCCTGGATGAGCACGTACGGTGTAAGCGGCACAAGCGGCGGGGCACGCTCGAGCGCGTCCTGACCAGGGGCGTGCTCATGCGCCAAGGGCGAGGAGTTCGGCCCTGTTGCTGGGGCCGTCCAGAATTCAGCATCAGTATTCCCTGCTTGTCCTAAGAGGCGACTAAAAGGGAAATGGCCAGTCGGGGCCGGCGTCCGGGACGCGGACACACCGAAACCTTCGGGGACTAGGGTGTTGGGGGTTTTGACTGCGACCCCGCGAAGAGCGAGTCGATCACCTCGGTGATGCCTCTGGGAGGCGTGGCAAAGGCTACCGAGCCTTGAACTCGGGGGTCGCGGCCAGCGCGCCAGGGCGATCGCCGCTGGTAAGGGCCCACCGTGAGCCCGTGATACACGATCCTAATCTCGGCAGGACCACAGCTGAGACTCCCAGTCGACGAAGCTCGGCCCGGCCATCTCACCATTGATGGGCCTTCCCAACGGGGGCAAAAATGGAACTTCGGGATGTGGGGGGGCCCCGCGGCGTCGAGCGATTGACGACGTGCCCTCACACGGCGGTCGCGCCCGGCCTTGGTTGAGGCGCGGTCGACGGCGGTTTGGTTTCGGAGTGGCTGTTAGCAGGAGCTAACCCTATGGTTAAAAGACCGAATGCTTGGTCTAGGGGAAGGTTGCCGAGTGAGATACTCCTTAGCGTTCACCCAGCCTACCGGTGGGGCTATATGCACCGGAGGTTGCCCGTAACCAAAAACGGGAAGCAATGAGGATAGCTTGCGACCCGACCTGGGTGGCGAAGGGTACGTGCACGCCTCAGCCAACGGTACGGGCGCACTCTCTCCCGACTTCGGTGGGAACGGGTGTGCGCCCGGTGCTCGTGGTCCATAGACGACGTGCGGCCGGTGGTTGGTGGGTAACTCCATCGTACGCCGACCGTGAACCTCCGTGGCCCTCGACTAGCGCACAGCGCTAATGTGAGGTCCACGGTTGTAGCCGCAAGGCATCAAACCCGGGAGTCTTCGTGCTCTTCTTGCCGTTTTTTTCGAAATTCGAGTTTTAGCCCCTTTCGGTCGTATCACCCTCCCCGTCGACGACTTATTCGCGTTCCCCGCTAAATTTATAACCGACGCGTGGCCCTACATTTTCAAAAACGAGTCCCGGGGTGGAGCGGCGTCGCGGAAAAGAGAGTAGGTACCGATTACGTATCGCTATATACAGGCATAAATACATGCGTCTCGAGGTTCGATTTTTTTTTTGCAATTCTCGCGTTTTATACGTCCTAGGGCCGCGGAGCCGGTAGTCCGCTTCCCGACGCGGTCGGATCGCCCGCTACGACACCCTTTGACGGCCTTCCAAACGGCGTTCGCCTTTCGCGGGGACCGCAACGCGGCTTAAGATTCATATATTTGACTCTGGTTTTCATCTCAGTAGGTGGCTAGGTTGGTTAGGCGTTAGGACAGGTGACTCGAGGGTCGTGGTTTCGAACCCGCCGCCCGAAAATCGATAATGTGCGGCGGCCGTGATAAATTGAATTTTTTTTTTCGTCGTTTCGCTATCATATCCGTCTTATCATTTTTAAAGTAAATGTAAATTCGAGTCTTAACGCCTCTACTGACTTCGGACCTCCCCGTTGAAGACTTATTCGCGTTCTCCGTCAAATGATTTAGGTGAGCGGACAGTGTCTTTATTACTATACATGGGCGTGAATATAATATGCGACGAAGAGTTTGATTTCTCTTTTTTTTTTTCGTTTTTTTCAAAAATTCGAGTTTTAGCTCCTTTTGGTCGTATTACCCTCCCCGTTTGAATCTTATTCGGGTTCCCCGCTAAATTTATAGCCGGCGCGTGGCCCTACATTTTCACAGACGAGTCCCGGGAAAGAGTGGCGTCGCGGAAAAGAGAGTAGGTACCGTGTAAGTATCGCTAAATACAGCAATAAATACATGCGTTGCATCGTTTTTTGCCGTTTTTTTCTAAAATTCGTATCTTGGCCCGTTTTAGTGGCATTACACTTCCTGTTTGGATGTTATTGGCGTTCCCCGCTAAATTTATAAGCCGCCCGCTGCAGAGTCGGTCTGTAGGTGTACCAGGTACATGCATATTATAATATATAAATGTATATTTATCAAGAAATGATACACGGTGGCTGGGTTGGTTTAGTTAAATTATATATACTTTATAAAATATTATCCCAGCTCGAGTCGACGATGGATGTCACAGAAACAATAATATAAAATAATTATATATTTGGTATTATTAATTTGAGTATACAATAGGTAGGTTTAATCAAATTAATAAATAGATAATTGATAAATAACAATATTTAGATAGTTGACAACATTTCCGGCAACCTTTAAATTTACATTTGTTTTCCGCGTGTTTGGATAAACATACAGTACAAATTTTTAGTTGATTTATTTTGACTTTTCTTTCGGGAACTGAAAGAGATAAAAATTGTGTACACCTGTAGATCGGGTGACTTTCATTGCATGCGAAACATTTTAATTTTGTAGTCATTGCGTGCATTGATGTCGTTTTTTGAAAACCAGCTCTTTCATATTTTTTTTGCTTTGATGAGAACTGATGAGTATTTTGGTTAGTTTTTCCATTTAAATTTTGAGCCCCTTCAACTGCTTCTAATATTTGAAATCTTTTTTGCAAAAATTCTACTAACTCATTCACTTCGGACACCTCTGTTTTATGTGCTTGAGTTTCCCACTCACGTAACGTGGCTGTGTCCAATTTTATTAGAATTACGTGCACTAAAAGTGGGCCCCAGCTATTCGTATCAAAACCTAACGCTTCTAAGGCTTTTCTGTGCCCTTGCAACGCGTCAATAAAGTACATTAACTTCGAGGAAGATTCTTGGTCTATAGGTTTCAAGTCGAAAATTGCTTTTGTATGATTTTTTACTAAAATTCGTTTATTATTATAACGCGCCTTTACGCACTCCCACGCTGTTGAATAATTTTTTGCCGATGTTTCGAAACTTTGAATTACTTTTGCTGCTTCTCCCTTTAGTGCTAATTTTAGGTGGAAAAATCGTTGAATGTCCATTATGTCTTCGTTTGAGTGAACTAGAGCTACAAACATATCGTGAAACGTGGCCCACTCCTTGTAGTCGCCACTGAATTCTGGTACATTTAAGGCGGCCAACTTCACCATGGACGCGCCCCTTATTCCACTTCTTACAGACGTGTTTTCGGTTTGCTGAATCGGCTCTTGATTTAATGCATCTTCGTTTTCATCTCTTTTTTTTACGTTCGACATTTTCCTTTTTTCAATCAGCGTTTCGCAGCTAGCAACCACGTCGAAGTACAATTCTTCGAACTCTATTCTATAATCTTCTTCACTCTCTGCATCTTCGTTTTGTTCTATTTCTTGCTGAATTTGTTGGAACTCGACCCAGAACTCCTGTGCCTTTTCTTTTCTTATTTTTAATTGATTTATATCACCATCCGCAGTTGCGAAGTTTTTTGCGTAGCTGCCTAATCTGGTTAATTGGCCTTTTATAACACCGCGTCGGCTTATCGACGTTGCCTTATCGTACATTATTTCTACCTGTTTTGTACGTAACAATTTTACAATATTATTACCTGAACTATAATATTATCGTTCTCGGGACTTATTATTTGCCGCTGACCTTGATGGCTTATCGACTGTATACCGTGGTTACGCTATTTTAGGCATGTTTAGGGGGAATACTATACGTTGGTATTATAGGATTTAACATAAGGAATATTACGTATGCTCTCTTACCTTATACCTCGTGGTTTGCTAGTTCTCCGCCTTTGAATTGTATCAATGAAATTAGCCCCAATTTGAATGGCGGGTTACTTGTTTTTAATTTGTTCGCGCACTACCCAGTCCGCGATCCGGTTCGAAGGACCAAAATGTTCGGGCCGTACGGCAATTGTACTTTGTTGCACAATCGAACGCACGGTAATTTGAACGATTTTTTAATATTATTATTTATGTTTTGAAAAATAAATATAAATCAAACTATGTTAAATTTTGAATTATTTATTAAACGTACAATTTGAAATATATTTTTTACAATTGGTTCTGACTTGTCGCACTTAGAAACCTTGGCGATTGACACTGTACTCGGTCGCAGCTGTCGGCAGACTAAAATTAATAATGTGCCCTTTAATCAACGCAGCGCGTCCAGCGTGCTTATCTGTCTTTTGTGGCGACCGATTACATTGTCGCCAAGACTGAACAGTGTATACATTTACACATACCTACGTTTAATAGGACAGTATTTTTCAGGTCAATCAAATTTGCTATTCATCAATAAAATTATATATTTATTAATTTGATTTAATTCTCATTATTAAATAAATATACATGGTAGGTATAACTTCACTATATATGTAAGTAATATCAAATAGTATAGAAAATATTATACAAATATTAAATAACTTTACTACCTACAAACTTTTCTTAAATATATAAAGATCTTTTTATTTATTAATATAATAATATATATTATATAGAAACTGTAGCAGTATTTGTATGCTACATTAAATTATTAATTACCAAAATAAGAAAGTGGCTATTTGAGTACCTCAACAAATTAACTCACCTGACAACTGTAATATTATATTGATAGGTATGCATTTATTAGTTCCTAACAGGGACTGGAACCGTACCGAAATTGACCAGTTTTGGACCGAAATCTTTTGAAAATCTTAGGACCGAAACCGGACCGGAACAATTAAATATATTTTTTTAAGAAAAGAAACCGAAACCTATATTTTGATGTAGAGGTTTTTCCGGAAAATGCAATAGATATTTCATCTGTGGTGAAAATAGGTAATAACTAATAACTAATTATTAGTAATAATAAATAATTATAAAGTCGTAGACCTAAATTTTGGCGTAATGACGTCGAAGAAGGTGACTCGGTAGTCGGATTGCTTACGAAATGTTTTGAATTTTTTTTCACATAATTGATAACTTAATTTTGCGTTGTCAGTGACTGTAATGGCCTACCCGGATAACATAGATGGGTGACCTGCTAGACACCAAAATCAGACGGTGGCTACATGATTTGCACGGACGCCCGAAATATTTTGAATTTTCTTCACGAAATGTATTCTTTAATTTTGCGTTTTCGGTAACAGTAATGAACGTCGTCCGCGATTCGACGCAGTCGGATTGCATACGTGATGACGTGCTCCAGCCGTCGAATATTGTCGGGCTGCCTTCCAGCTTGACTACGACCAAAGTCGAGGAACGTGACTTTATATTATTTTTTATATTAGATTTTCATAATCATGGTAGGTTCTGCGTTATGATTCAATGTGCTGTAACGTCGAGTAAGGCGACCGACCTGGTAGACACCTAAACTAAAGGGCAGCTATAAAACTCGGCCGTCGCACATTGTCATATATCCTAGAAGTTTTACTAAGGCGAACGTCATTCGAGTTGATTGACCTGGTAGAGAGGAAAAAAATCGCGGCAACAATATGTTTTTTTACGGGATTTCGAATTTCCGGGGGCATTCGGCGAACGTTGTCGGCGAACGTTGTTGCTCACACGGTCTACCACGTGGAACCACGGTGGTGCAAATCTCTTGACACAACGACCGGCTAGAGACCGACGACCAGATGATATTTTTACTTAACTATCCGTTTTCGGTGACAGTAATGAACGGTGTCCGCGATTCGACGCAGTCGGATTGCATACGTGATGACGTGACACGCGGCCATCACACATTATCCGACACCCACAAAAATACGAACAACGTCGAGGAAGGTGACTGACCTGCTAGACCCCAAAACATATTTTCACGTAAATTATATAGCCGATGACACGAACCGGTCGTCACGTTGTCTACCTCCAACATCGTGTCGGTTGCCTACAAGGAAAACATAGATGGGTGACCTGCTAGACACCAAAATCAGACGGGGGCTATATGATTTGCACGGACGCCCGAAATATTTTGAATTTTCTTCACATAATTTATTCTTTAATTTTGCGTTTTCAAGGGTGACTACACCAAAGTCGAGGAACGTGACTGA